TATTATTATTATATGTATATATATATGTATGAATACGTAATAAGTTTATTTATTTTGGCAGGTCATATTATTATTATGGCATATAATATAATAATTTCATAAATTAATATGATTATTTTGGAACAAGTTTWWCCTAGTAGTATTTAGAACTCGTCCATTAACGCACACGCGTGCACAATATAATAATAATATTTTATAATATTATAATATTATAACCTGATATAATATTATTATGTGCATTTCYCTAACGAACATAAACATTTTAAAATGGGCACCCGACGTCGTCCAATTAAAAATAACGTAATAACGGTGCGGGGGCACCCCCTTAGGTTTAGTTTTGTTACATGTTAACTGCATTACACCAAATTACAGTTCGGCGGATCGTAGCAGAGCACATAGGGCTACACGTTGGATTTTGGCATGGTACAATGTGTTTAAACGCGCGAGGACATGGCATTAAAGGTCGGCGTGGCGATAACAAAACTTTACCCACCTACCAACCCCTATACCAAGTTTGATGTTAATAATAATGTACGCACAATAACAACGATATACCTACTAGGTAAACCGTAAACGTATATTATTATCATGTTTACTTGTTATTTCTGAAATAAATCGATGTACACAACAAGATACCGATTGCGGATATTGAAATATTATTTTTATTATTATTATTTTTATTATATGTGAAATAGTGTTATTATTAGATAATAATTCGTTTGTAATTTTTTTTCCGCAATATTATTATAATATGGGTAATGGGTATGCATATGGTTTTACAGCACTTCTCATCTGACTGCGACTAGGCTCTTTCCACAACCTATTCATTCACTTCCACCAATAAAAATATTTTAATATCATTTGTTGAAAATAACCAAAATCCATACACGGATAATTTATTAACGATCGAACATTTTTAATTAATTGATGCGTTCTCAGAATCTAGCATGTACCGAACACATATTGATATTGTATTAAAAAATCAGTGATATAATATTTTATTAAAACCTATATATGAAACCTATATACATGCTGTGACATACCATGACGTGTACTTTCATGTTTAAAGCTTCGTGCACTTGAGATCATATTATACATATATTATTTTGTTTTTGTAAAGTGTAACTGCCAGTCAACAGTAATAATTATAATATAATAAAGTCTTTATACTTTCACGAACAGTATAGAAAAACTATCATTGCCTGGTGGCATTATGTGTACGGRTTAATTTTAAATCAATCCAAGCAGATTATAAAGTGGAAAATTTAACAACAGCAGTAGCTGTATAGAGTTAAAAATTATAATATTGAAAAATAACTCTCAATAAAAACGGTTTCGAAAAAAAAAAGTAAAAATGTTTGTAGCGTAATAAGTTACAACCTAAGAAAATGCTCGTAGGTTTATTTTCCAAGTATTATTAATTATACGTTTTCGTAGATAGTCTAATAATAGTGATATCTCATTTGTATGCTAGGTATTCATTGTTTGTCTTGATGTAATATTTACCTATGTTTATTGTGTAGGTCTGAACTTTATAGGAACTTCAAATTATTGTCTAAAATATCCATCTAAATAGCGGAATGCTATCGTGATTATTGATAAAAAAATTTTTATGTTGTATTATTTCAAATATTTTGTATTTCACTTAAAACTTAAAACAACTATACACATATTAAAATTATTACTAATAAGTAACAAGTAACGTTATTATGTCTGAATAAAAACTAGTTTCATAAAATATAAATAATATAATTAAGTAAAATAAATGCAGAACCGTGATAAATAATATATGTTTTCATATTTAAAAAAATATGTAATTAGTTTTTGATAATAATCAAAAAACAAATAAAATAAATTATGTGATTTGCAGAAAAATTAATTTTAAATTAAACATTGGTTAATAAATCTTTAATAAAATGCCTAAATATGAAAATTATCTTTTTTTGTTTAAAATATGTTTTCAATTTTAATGCAAATGTTAAGTAACATTAATAAGAATACATTAATAAGCTATTGATTGATGGATATTTATGTAAACAGTTAAATATAGTTTCTATTTAAAATGTAATATAAATACATGTAAATAAAATATTTCCGAACATTTTTTATGAAAMAATGTACACACAGTGCATAATATAACAATATAATATATTTTATACGCATAAAAGATTGTATTTGGGGGGAAAAATATGAAATATTTACTATAAATTTTAACAAAATATATTTACCAGTAGTTAGATATAATATTATAATTATAAATGAAGTGCTTACGTTTATTTTGAAATAAAACTTTATGATTTAACTTAAGATGATTGAATTTATTATACTATTTAAAAACAGTTAATATTTTCRAAAATAATTTTGAAATGGATTCATTTAATTAAATTTAATATTGATATAATTTTATAARCTTATATTAAAAATGGCTTTAATTTTTTGAACAATTTGAAATTTAGGATACTTAAAATAATTTCTTTCAAAATAAAATTTGAAATATAAAGCATATTAGTAAAATATGAAATATCATCAGTTTCTCAGGGTATGAGTTAAGTTTAGTAAAAGTTTCCAAATAAAACTTACCAAAAATATTTTTTTTCTCCGAAAACACTTAATGTTTATTTTTTGTTTAAGGGAAATCAAATTGTTGGACACCTGTTTATGGTCCCGTGGGAATGGTTAAATGAACACACATTTTGAGGATCAAATTACATAGCTAGTAAATTACTAAAGAAAAAGTTTCGTATCGTTGCAGAGGCAGCCGTTGAAAGTTGCGGTTATTTTTCAAATTGTACACAAGGTCGAAAAAATAAAGAAATACAATAATAAAAGCAAGGAAATGCGAACTAAAATTATATTTAATGTCTGATAAACCGCTGCATGGCYGTTATAACGTTAAAACCGTATTCAATTATTTTGTTGAAAATGTTTAAGTATGCTAAATCGAAGTTCTAACGARTAGATCGTGAGTTATTTAACTTATTGTATGAAAGATTATGACTGCCCTTGACTTAGTCAATTAACATTTTTTAATTTATACCAATCGTATATATAATACATTTAAATTTAGTAGGTACCTATTMGATTGAATTAAATAAATATTAAACTTTTTATTTTTAAATCTTCACTTTTAAGTACTATTATCCTTAGTATTGAAACAGTGTGCGCAATACGTGCGCTTTCGTATATAACGTGTACACAGGTTTAAATAGTAATCACGTTAAAATATATTTATATATAATAATGAGAAAGACGAGTCTATACCGGCTGATTGGACCGTATGAGGTGGCCTGCGTGGGCAATTATCCCTTATCGTCGACCATACAGGCCCGTTGCTAATTACAATGTGTGATGAATATGTTATATGGGTTTGTATAGTGTGAATCGGATTTCGTCATTTTCGTGTCCGTTCAAGCAAGTACTACCGT